CCCTGCAGCTGGATCTTATGGAAGCATTTTCTCAACTGAGGTTCCCTCCTTTCAAATGACTCTAACTTGTATCAAGTTGACATAAAACTAGGCAGCACCCCCTCTACACACATATATTATTTCTGGCATAATAGCATTGAAACATATAAATATACACACATACAAAATAATATGTATATATACATATAAATATACATATATTTGTGTATGTATATATATGTATGTGTATGTTTATATGTTTCAGTGCTATTATGCCTTTGCTTCTCAGGATACATTTTGGAATTAAAAGTGATAAATTTAATTTAAAAATCTTTTTCTGGATTCTTAAGTATTTTCCTTTTTCTAGGCTAGAGATCTGTTTTAATTAGTGTTGGTATTTCAGAATAAAAACGAATTCCAAGAAGGAAAAAACACATGTGGAAATACTTTAAAATGTTCTATGGCTGCTTATATGAATGAACTGAGATGACTTAGGTGGTCTACTGTGGAATTGTAGCTTTGGGGCTTCTGAAGACGCTAAGCACATTTTTCAAGATGTTAAGTTCAGATAGTCTGGACATTTACCATAAGAAGTTAAGTTTTTCTCTCCTTCTTTCATTGGCTTTGAAAATATTCCCTTGACACTGCTTTCTTTTCCATGCCCTTCTAGAAGCTGAAGGTGGGGGTTAGTTGGCAAAATTCCACACAGCATGCAGTACTCACTGCCATCTAATGGGGCTTGAAGTGTTTCCTTGGGGAAGAAAAGAAAAGTTCCATTGCTAAAAATGTCAAGTCTGGGATCCTGAGACCCTGTTAGAGAGACTGTGGGAAATGTTCCCTTGGCTGGGGAACAGACTGGGTGGCTGGGATGTCCTTTTCCAAGTTCATTAGTTTCTATGATTTGAGGAAAACTGACCTTAAAAGAAACAGAAGGAACCAGACCTTCAAACAAAAGCAAAGCCTAACTATAACAACTTGACTTATTTTTAAGTTTGCCAAGAATAAAATACCACAATAAAAAGAATCGCATGCTCACATTATTATGGACTAAGTCCTTACATATTAGAAAGAAGTTACAACATCCTTAGATCCCTTGAGAACATGATAAGCTTATGTTTATCTAATAATAGTCACAGAATGCTTAGGACAAGCAGAGCAGAAACTGAAGGGCTGTATTCCCACCATTGGCTGTCGAACCTAAACTTATTCATGTTGAGTACTGCAATGTCAAGTATGTTAACACACCCTTTGACAAATCCTACTTGCTGTATATGTTGTGTAGATGTTAACATATGCATAATAAATATATATGTATGCATATATAACTTTGTATAATTATGTATATATAACTTTGAAAATACTTACTAGAGAGGAAAAGAGCAATTAGGGTGATGGAGCAATTAGTCTTTCAAGTTACAATTTGACATCATGGGCCACTAGGGAAGAGCATGATGCTGGAGTTGAAATGACTTTGTGAAAACCACTTGCTGGCTTTGTAACCTTAGGGAAGCGCTGAAACACTTTGTGTAGCAGTAACTTCATCTTCCAATGAGAGCAATAATTGCATCTGCCCCTTAGGGTGGCTATAGGGATTAAATGAGTTAAGATGTGGCATTGTTTAAAGTAAAGTAAATATGAGCTTTCATCATAATTACTAGTATGTGCAAGGCTCCATGCTAGGTGCTCCGAGGGATAGAATTAAAATAATACACAGCCCCTTTACATAGTTAAGCTTCAATCATATAAGCTTTGATATTAATAACCAGGAAGAAAACCAGTTCATTGCTACAAACCAGCCTTTTAAATGCAAGGCTGTCTCTACTTACGTGATATATATTTGACAGGACAAGACAAGGCTCAAGGCAGATTGCACACTAAACTGTGTTTGCAGTGACCTGGCCACTGTTAATCCTGCAGTGGCTTAGCCTCTGGGGAGTTATATAATGTAGATACTGTAGCTGGATTAAGACTTTTGACAACAGAGATGCCTTAAGCCTCGAGTGCTCAGAGAAGTGCCCCAATTTGTAGAGGGTCGCTTCAGCTTACCTTTTATTTATTAGAGATTTACAGAGTTCCAGACCATGATTATCCGGTTTAAGAAGTAATTCTGTGATAGAACTGGGAAAAAGAGTGTGTGTCTAACCGCTGAACAAAAGGTACAGTGAGCCAGTGCCCCATAAGCTTCAGGTCAGGACTGCTTACTGTAGTCTGAACTGACTAGAAGATGGGGAAGCAGTGGTTAGGAAAGGCCTTCAACAAGGATTTAAGGTGATCGCTGGAGTAATTAATCCCCATTAGTCAAATAGAAATCCTCTCAACTTACGTTTTTCACCTGTCACTCCAGATTTTCACTTACACATTGTCCCTGAGGGGTACTTCATAACAAAAGACAGATTTCTGGCCAAATGTTGGGTTTAATACGTTCCCACAGGTTGACTTGAAAATATAGCTTTTGCCAATAGCTTCGCTTCTGTGAAGAAAGGGGAGTATTTTGAATTTAATATACCAGTTATAAACTTTTAAAAAAATTCTGCTTTACTTGATTCTTCTAATCTATAATGATTAAGTGCTATTTGTATGCAGAAACTGAAGATACAGTGAACAAAGACCCTTCTATTAGCATTCAGGAATCTGTACTGGCTGCCCTTAGGGTCCTGACAGGATACATCCTCAGTGGAAGCCACTACGAGCACCCCCTTGTGTGCATTTGCTGTGTTCCCTTATAAAAGGCAGGCCCTGCCTGGCTCTCTTTCTCTTCCTTCACTCTCATCATCCCCAGGTCTCTGCCCCCTTCTCTGCTCCTTCTTTCCCCTCCCCTCAATAAACTGCCCATGTGGGCCCTGTTGTATGGTGTGACTCCTTCCCGCTATTTTTAAAAGAACACCCTCCGTCCATGGAGATGACATTCTGGAGGGGAGACAATTAGATAATAAACCGTGGGGCTCTGAACTGATGCAGCTCTGCAAGCCTCACCACCTGAGTTCAATCCCAGGGATGCACACAAACACAAACAAACAAACAACAACAACATCAAACAGTGCAGTGGCCTGTGCTGCATCTATGACCTCTGTACTCCTGTGGTGGAGTGGGAGGCAGACACAGGAGAGATGCCCAGAAGCTCTGGCCAGCTAGCGTGGGGTACACAGAGCAGCTAGAACAAGAAGGAAAGCTCAGACTCAACAGTGTGGAAGGAAAGAGCCTGCTCTCTCCGATTATCCTCTGACTTCCACACCTTCACTGTGTTACACTTTAACACACACACACACCCCAAATAAATAAATGTATATACTTTAAAGATTATATATAAACTACCCTAAACTATAGGCAGTATGTAGGATGTTGATAGGTGCTATGGAAAACAAACAAACAAGCAGAAATAGAAAGATTTGACAATTTCAAATATGATGGCATTGAGAGTGAGAAATTTAAGTGAAAAGGGGCCCAGACCACATGTGGGGTAAGGAGCATTTTAAAGCAGTAGGAAGGACCAGCACAGAGGTTTTGAGCCTAGAGACCAGAGTGAAACCAGTATCATCGCAGAGGGTAGCAGACAGACAGAGGTGAGCCTTGTGTTGGAGCTGGATCCTTGCAGGTATCTGCCTGCCCTTTGGGAAAGTTAGAACTCACCTGTATTGAGTTGGTTTAAACTAGGGCCTGTCTGTGTCAGAGTAATGTCCCCCTACCACATCTTCTACACTTAAATTTTTATGTGCATAAATGCCACCTGAGAACTTGTTAACATTTAGCTTCTGATCTGGTAGTTCTGCACCTTGAGCAAGCTTCTGGATGTTGCCCAACTGCTGATCCACAAAGACACTGAATGATAAAAGCAAGGAAGGGTTGAACCCCTAGAGGCCGGTGGGCTCACTTCTCTTACTGCTGCAAGGGCTTTGCCGCATTTGGACCTGGAAGATCCACTCAGGTTTCTGTTCACACATCCATGCTGGCCATGGATTCCCTCGCTACTCATGGTCCTGTAACCTGGCTGTTGGATCTGGGGCTCCTCCAGAAATTCCAGTCAGGTGGGCTGCTTTTCTGCTGGCTGTGAAAAGTTCCTAGGGCCTCCTCATTGCTCCTAGAAACCCTCTGCCTCGGAATCTCACCTGGAAATCCTTCTATACTCCTAGAGCGATATTTTCATTTTATATGTGTCCTATTCCAATGACAGCAGCTTGGACTTGGGACCTTTACTTCTGGCTCTGGACTGGGATTCACAGTGCAACTCTGTGTAGGTCTGAGGCAGCTGGAGAACTTGGGCAGAAGAGTCTGGGGTCTGTTAACAGCCTTTCTTAGGAGCCAGCACAGTCATTTGCAAAGGGCCAACAGATTGTGATAGCACAGGTAATGCAGTCAGATAAGCCACGGCCTCCTCTCTTTACCTGTGTAATCTCCAGAATGTTCCTTCGTCTCCTGGCCTCCTCCTCCACTTTCTCCTCTTCACTAAGGACTGAACTTCCCACATGCTATGCAAGTGTCTTACCACTGAATTGTAATGCCAGCCCTTCAGCTGCAGTTTTATCAAGAAACTGGGAATAATAAAAATACCTCCTTCATGAACAGAGATAATGCAAAAAAGTATTCAGCAAAGTGCCTTGTGTGTATGATTATACAATACCAGCTGCTATTACTTTTTGTTCTCTGTAAATCATTCTAGATCAGCATTATGGCACCTGCCTACACATTCCCTAGAGTTAAGTTGCTGGGGCAAATCTCACAGTAGAATAATTATGTGATGAGACAGAAATGTTGATGAAGAGGAGGAGTAGAATATTGATGATGGTGACTGGTGGTGGTTATCTTCAAGATGCCATCGTAAGAGCAATGGCTGTGTCTTATTGGGGACACGCTTGCGATCAATGGTAGGAGAAGAATCAGCAAGACAACCAAGGTCAACTGCAGGTGGAAACTGACTTTCTAACAGTAAAAGAAGATTAAGGGGGTGCGGCGTGTGAGGGGTGGGCTGGTGCGCAGCCGCTACAGCGGAGCCAATCACTGGGAGCAGCGGGCCCTGCCGTGGTGACGTCACGGTTGCCATGGAGAGGCCGGCTCGGCAGAGACCCCGGGCTGACAGAGCTTTGAAGCGGTGTCCGTCCGCACCATGAGCGGCCGTAGTAGGGGTCGAAGGTCTTCCCGTGCCAAAGGCCGGGGCAAAGGCCGGGCCAGAGCCCGGGTCCGCGCCGCCGAGGACGAGGCCTGGCGCGACGCGAAGTCGCCGCAGGACCCGCAGCTCGGGGAGGACGCCGCGGCCGCGCAGGTGCAGGCCGACGCTGCTTCCGGAGGCTCGGAACCAGCCGAGCTCGGGGACGATGCGGCCTGCCGCGTCCCGCTGGACTGCGGCCTGGCGCTGCGGGCTCGGGCTGCGGACGAGCGCGGGCTGGCGGCCACTGACCCAGCCCTGGAATTGGCCACATCCCTCGCCGAGCGCCTGGCCACCGACACCGGCTTCGTTGGAACCGTAGGAGCCTTGGCGAGGCTGCGACACCGCACCCGCGTTGGAAATCGGCGAGTCCCCGGGAGGAGGGCCCCAGATACTCGGAGCGCCGCGGGAAGGAGACCTCAGGCCACAGTCAGTGGGAAGCCAAAGATGGGCTCTGCGGGGCCATGTGTCGCTGTCCCAGTGGGGGAGGAAAGGAAGGTGGCAGAGAAGCATGCTGGGTCAGGGTCCTTCGCGATGATAGGCAGCATGGATACCCTGGAGACGGTCCAGCTAAAGCTGGAGACCATGAATGCACAGGCCGACAGGGCCTATCTCAGGCTCTCCCGCAAGTTCGGCCAGTTGCGCCTTCACCATTTAGAGCGCAGGAACCTCCTTATCGAGAGCATCCCTGGCTTCTGGGGGAAAGCCTTTCAGAACCATCCCCAGCTGTCATCTTTTCTGAATACCAAAGATAAGGAGGTATTGACCTACATGAACAGACTGGAGGTGGAAGAGCTTGGCCTCGCTAGATTGGGCTACAAAATCAAGTTCTACTTTGCCCCAAACCCCTATTTCCAAAATAAGGTGCTCGTCAAGGAATATGGATGTGGTCCCTCCGGTCAAGTGGTGTCTCGCTCAGCTCCAATCCAGTGGCTCCCAGGTCATGATCTACAGTCCCTAAGCAAGGAAAACCCAGAAAATAATGGTAGCTTCTTTGGGTGGTTTTCAAATCACGGCTCTATTGAGTCTGACAAGATCGTTGAGATAATCAACGAGGACCTGTGGCCCAATCCTCTACAGTACTACCTGGTCAGTGAAGAAGCCCGTGGGGAGAAAGGCAAGGAAGAAAGGCCAGGCCCAGCAAAACAGCCAGTGGAGACCGCTGAGCCTGGGGCGAAGCAGTCCAACTGATGCTGCATGGATCTCCCCACTACCTCCTGATGGACCTGTTAGGCTGACCACGTGGGTTTGGTAGTCTGCCTTCTGTTGATGCCATCTTATGTACACTGCAGCCGCTTTGGACTGATCTTCAAGAATGTGGAATTTGTGATCATGTTCTTTGCTTCCCCATGGCCTCACCTTGTCACAATAGTGACGCATCTCACTCTCACTGCTTGCATATTAAGCACTAAGATGTATGCAGCTTTACACTATCCAGTCCCTGTTATTAGCTCTGGCCCTTCCCACCTGTCTTTCTGGTGGACATTCCGAGTCATCGTCCAGATGGATACTCAAGCTATGTTACTTCGTGGCCAGTCAGCTGGGCTTCCTCTTCATTTTAGCCATGCATGTTATCAATGGCAAGGTTTTCTGTTGCCTTCACAAAACGAAGCCAGTGCACATGGCATTGACCATCAGCCAGATTTTATTGTTCTGTGGGTCTGGGGTCAACAACCAAGGTTCTTCCTGTTTTGTTTCCAGCTTCAGCCTAGGGTCCAGCAGACTACTGTGGACGAGGTCAAGGGCAAACAGGAGTAAATTCTATGTTCTTCACATCTCTTCTTGCCTCTGGGCCAGTCTACTAGTGAACCTTCATGCAAGTCTGGCCATGCCTGATTGTAGTCAGTCCGTTGACTGTTGGCTAGGTTGCTGTTGGCTCCAACTGACTTGTTCATGAAAGACCTCAAGAACCTGCCTATGGACCCAGGCATCCTCACAGTGCATGAGCTACAAACCTACCCTCCACAGACTTAGGAACCCTCCTGGTGGGCAGCCTGGTATTTGTGAGTCCTGAGGAGGGTAGGGCTTTGGGCCACAGCCTTATCAACTAGGTATCTGTGTCAACTGTCCTTGTTCCTTGCTGAGATGGGACAAGAGCACTTCAGTGGGATGCTGAGGAAGACAGATTTTTCATTTGTATGCCTGTGTTTACTTCACACCTCCATGCAACTAGTCCACTTCCCTATCTACCTACCCTGTCCTTCCTACTCTCCTCCTTGTTCCCCCACCCCCTGCCTCCTACCTTTAAAATAGCATCAGCTCAGACAAAGAAATTCATCATCCAGGCTTTTCTGTGTACAGCTAGGGAGGTAGATAGGGCTTCCCATGCACACGCATGTAGGAGGCTGAGATAGGGAAAAAAAAGCAAAAAACAAAAAACAAAAACAAAACCAGAAGGCCTCAAGAGGGTCTATGGCTAGACCTGGGCCCTGAATCCCGGATTCATTCTGTAGTTCTAAAGTTGTATGCATCTGCTAGGATGCCCCTAAGGCAGCAGTGTTGTGGACTCTAGTTTAGTCTTCTGTGTGTTCCTTAAAGACCCAGGGGCTTCCTTTTGTCTCCGTTGGTAGCCTGTGCAACTGGGATCCTCAACCCTCAGCTTTCCTTACTTCTTAGCCCAAATATACTCACTATGGGGGAATCCCAAGGTGTTCTTAGGGACAGGCATAGGCAGGGCCTGTTCTAGATATTTCTAGTGAGTGTGCAGGCTGAGATGGGCCCTCTCTGCCCAGGCTTGCCTGTGTCCTGACTTGCCTTCAGTGGAAAGTAGAACTCTCTAAACCAGTCTTTCTCCAGACCCACATTCTGCTATGAAAGACTTCATCCTAACCTCTGTGAGGGGGTCCTTGACTCAGTGGTAAGGGGATGATAGGCAGGGGAATCACGGCAAGAGAACATAGAATAGGTATGAGCCTGGTATTGAGTGGATCAGTAAAAACTTGACAGAAATGGCTTGTGAAGCTGCAGAGTGTGATCCTATCTCTCAGTGATGAAGGTGACAGGAGAGACCTTACTCAGGGTTGGGAAGGGAGAATTAAAGGGATTGTTGGTAAACATACCTGGGCAAGGATGGATCCAGAGTTCTGGACAGTTTTTATCATCATTAGTGGATTTTTTTTTGTAATCATAGAAACAAACCAAAAGCAATGTTACTGTGTTGGATGTTTTCTGTTCTAGGTGCAGCTTTGTGTATGTGGAAGATTGTGCTATATGCTGTGTATCTGGCCTCAAAGTAAAATCTTATAACTTTTTGTAGTTTTGCCTAATGAGGGAAATAGAGCTGTACAAATTTGCTTTAAAATAATATTTGCTCTTTATTATGTAAATTTACACAAACAGGAGTGGAGGAGATGGTTCTTGGACCCTGTATGCCTTCTACCTCGAAGCATTCATCATCAGCCACAAGCAACCGAATTTCATCTGTAGCTCTTCTTCCTCCTGCACTGTTTATCAGAAGTCCAAGGTACTGTTGTCGATGCAGTCAGATGTACTTTGGGAGATTGGGGCTCTGGTGTTGATAGTTGTGGGGTGCACTCTTATGATCACAGCAAGTTGACTTCTGTGTATCATTTTGTGTAAGTTAATGATTTCTCAGAAGTGGGCCTTATAAATGAGTCTTCATAATTGTGAAACTCAAGGAGTGATGATGAGGATATTCTACTCTCCCCCACATCCACAAAAGAAGAGGCCATTCTGCTGTAAATCTGTCTAAGATCCTGATGTAAGATACCCTTTACAATATCAGTCTTTTCTCCTGTGTAACATAGAGACTTTTATGGACTGTTAGGGTTGCTGTATTCTGTGAAAATAATCTCTCCACATAATCTTTCACTGGTTGTTGTAGTTGATATTTCATACCCTGGTAATAATGTGATTATTTCCCTGTTACTAAGCAGCATAAATACTTGCAAGTGTGCATGTTTGGTGGAAAAATAATAATAAAAATTCTTGTGTTACTGTTTTGTTTCACATTGCAGAATTATAACCGGAGGGGTTATTAGACAGAAGCTGAGCAGAAGTGAGGAGTGGTATTCACTGGCCTACATTAGTGGGTCCCAGGCCTCAGGCCTCCTGACTGATTACACAAGAACACATAAAATTCTGCTTCTCAGGCCCTTCCCAGAGACTGGCATTCTGTGTGGCTCTGGAGGAAGCCAACTAGTCTTGTTTATAATGAGTTTTCCAGATACTTCTCGTGGGAATTCAGTGTTTCTAGCATCTTGTAGTAAATTTGAATTATGTGGAGAATCCTGCTCAGTGGATTCTGATTTAGTAGTTAGGCAGAGCTGGGACTCTGTAACACGCTTCCAGGTGATGAATTGTTGGTGACATGCAGACTGCACTTCGAGTTACAACTGAGGTGACTTTAGAGGCCCTTTAAAGAACTAATAAAAAAGGTGAGAAAAAATGTTTTTTAAAAAGGCCCTTAAAACTAGAGTAATGGTGTTCAACCCTGGTTGCATGTTAGAATTAACTGGGAAGTTTAAAAAAAAACAAAAACAAAAAACACCTGCCCTAGCTTCACATAATGATCAACTAAGTCAGGATGAGGAAGGAGATTGGCCCAGCCACAAGTGACTCCAAAAGCTCTTCAGGTAACTCAACATGCATCTTGAAAGTAGGCTCTGCTCATTCCGCACCCAGAGAAAGGAACATTTCCATCAGAAGAAGCCATCTTCCGTGATGACCAAACACCACAAAAAATGGTTAGAAAAAGAGTGGTTCTGATGGACAAGGAAAGCGCGGAGGGCTGGCATGATGCTCACTAGGGAAAGGTTCAGGCTATGCCTAAGACTCGAGTTTGAGCCATGACGTAGGTGAAGGAGGAACCAACTCCTTCAAAGCGACTTTCCTGTGCATGCCACAGCCTGCCCATCCCCCCCATAACAGCAAATAAAATTGTGATAAAAAGTTAGGCTTGCATACATAGGTGAAGATGCTAGATAAATAATATGCAGTGTGGGGGCATAGTCGGTGTTCCAGTGTTGGATAAACATTTGTCCTGGGGCTAGTGGGGTAAATACATTAAATGTGTTGATTGTTTCATATGTACATCTACATTAGTTTTCTTCCTGCATGAAGTACCACAGACTAGGGTCTACAAAACTATAAAAATTAATTCCTCAGTTCTGAAGGCTGCAGTCTAGGATCAAGGGGTTGCCATGGTGAGGTTCCTTCTGAGGGCCTCTCTCCTTGACTACAGACAGATTTGTGTATTCACATGGTCTATTCTTGGTGTGTGTCTTGTGACCTCTTCCTCCTAGGAAGCAAGCCATTCATAACTGGGATCCACCCCAGGGGCCTTAACTCCCACTTCCCTTTGAAAAACCTAGTCTCTAAATACAGCTTGAGGTGCTGAGGGTTAGCTCTTCTTTGGACAACGTACATGCTTTGCATAGTCTCTAAGACTTATCATGTTCAAGGTACTTTTACAGTAACATTATGAAGATTAACTTCCTTCTTTTCATAGTCCTAGAAGATATGTGACAAAAAATTGGAATAAAAAGAAGCTGAAAAAATTGTTTGGGTCAGATCCCAGCATTAAGTTTGGGTAGTCTGGTTCAAGAATCCACACCAATTCTTACAGTTCCTAACAGTAAGTCAATTGCCAGAATACATTCTCACCTGCTTTTAACTATTTATAGAGACAAACTTAGGTGCAAAAATATTTTCTACTATAAGGATAACAAGCTGACCTGATGCTCAGAGACCCTGTGAAACGAGGGGCTGATGCCTGTGTAGGAAGTTGTTCAGGCTGTGTGTAGGTTAGGGACAGCAACTCTGGGGCTCCAGAGTTTATTTAGGGCCATGAAGGCCTCATGTAGGTATGTCTCCAGAGAGTGGGGAATGAGGATCTTTATGCAGATTTCCTAAACTTGTGTATGTGTGGGTGTGAGTATACCATAACAGGTGAGGAGGTCAGAAGACAGCTTGTCAAGATCAGTTCTCTCCTTCCACCACAGGTGTCTTGGGGATTGAACTCAGGTTGTCAGGCTTGGTGGCCGGTGTCCTTGCCCTCTGAGCCGTCTCACCAGTCTTAATTTTTTTTTTTTTCGAGACAGGGTTTCTCTGTGTATCTTTGCGTCTTTCCTGGAACTCACTTGGTAGCCCAGGCTGGCCTCGAACTCACAGAGATCCGCCTGGCTCTGCCTCCCGAGTGCTGGGATTAAAGGCGTGCGCCACCACCGCCTGGCCAGTCTTAATTTTTTTTAACCCAGTGTTTTTCTTTAAATTAAAAAAATTAGTATAGAAGGTATTAGATGTCATTATGGCACATTGAACAAAGTGATTCTCCTCTGGCCTCACCTTTCCCACCCATCCCTAACCCTTTTGGTGAGTCCCTTAGTCTCTTTTCCTCTTAATGCCACGTCTATTCTTTTGCTCCTCTTTGGAAATTCTTTTTATTCTCTCATGGTCTCCTATCTAGATTTTTAGGCTTTACCCATATTTCACCCATCACTACACACACGTATACAAGCTATGATCCACAGATAAAAAAGAACATTGGTAGGTTTTGTTTTTATGATTCCAGGTTATCTTGCATAATATACTTTTCAGATCCATCTATTTTTCCTGCAAATTTACATTTTCCTTAAGTTGAATAAAACTCCACTGTGTATAAGTACCAAATTTTCATTATCCGTTCGTCTGTTGATGTACATCCAGACTGGTTCCCTTCTTGCTGTTGTGAACAGAGCAGCAATCAACATAGATGTGTAAGTATCCCCGAGTTTTTTACTGGCTGATGTGTAGCGTGTAGAATGCCATTGACATCTACTTGTTTTTCCAGGCAGGAGCCTCTGGGTAGGAATTATGCAGCGTCCTCCTATCATTACACTTGGGTTCCAGCTAACTAAGCTTGTGTTCCTACAGATGTAGGGAAAAGGGGCTGGCTAAAGAAACCCACCCTGACCCTGGAGCCCAGAACTAGGGGAAGATGGCTCAGATAAGGCCAGTGAAAGAAACACAGTTTGGCTCAAATCAGAGTCATCTCTGCCCCTGGCCAACTGACTTGTGAAACTAACCAGTCAGGACAGTAGAACCCTGGCCCTGGGGCCCAGGACCAGGGAAAGAAAGCCTGGGTTTGGGACCTGAGCCAGAGAAATGAACACTTTGTCCCCAAACCCAGAACCGAGAAAACATGCCCTGACTCTGAAACTAGTGCCAAGGAAACACTCCTGGTCCCTAGAATTGGAGTCAGTGAAAGAAATGTGCCCTGGCCTTGGAATTAATGTCAAAAAAGCTAAGTAAAGCCAGTGAAAAAAACACTGTTTGGCTCAGATCACAGATCAGGACAGTAGAACCCTGGGCCTCAACTTCTGGTTGACTCTGCCCCAAGACATCCTATATAAACCACCCTGCCTGGTCAGTTGTGAGCTGATCAGTTGTGAGCTGTTTTCTTCACCTTGGTAGAGGCAGCTACTCTCCTGGACTACTCCTTTGCTGTGGGATGTTCTGTATGGCAAATGTGTTGCTCTGATTGGTCAATAAATAAAACACTGGTTGGCCAGTGGCTAGGCAGGAAGTATAGAAGGGACTAACAGAGAGGAGAAAAGAAAGAACAGGAAGGCAGAAAGAGACACTGCCAGCCACCATGATGACAAGCAGCATGTGAAGATGCCAGTAAGCCACGAGCCACGTGGTAAGGTATAGATTTATAGAAATGGATTAATTTAAGCTGAATAACAGTTAGCAAGAAGCCTGCCACGGCCATACAGTTTGTAACCAATATAAGTCTCTGTGTTTACTTGGTCGGGTCTGAGGGGCTGTGGGACTGGCAGGTGAGAGAGTTTGTCCTGACTGTGAGCCAGGCAGAAAAACTCTAGCTACACTCCTTCCCAAATAAATCTCTTTCTCAGAGTTTTGGGTGTGAAGATCTTCATTCACTTGCTGAGACATCCCTCAGTGGACAGAGCAAAAGAGAGCTGAAAAGTAACACTCTTCTCTGGAGCCAGAGGAAATTGCTACATTTCTGCAAGGCTTTCCCCTTTTGCAGAGCGAAGCAACATAGGTCAGAGAAGCAGAGCTCTGCTAAGAAGCCCCCTTAAGTGGGGACTGAGCAAAGCCCAGCTGTAAAGGCTCTCCAGGAGAGGAGCAGGATTGCTATATCCTGCGGGTAGACCATCCCCCATCATACCAGGTATGGCCTGACTCTTCAGAACAGTCAGAATACCCTTCCCTGCAGTGCTGTCCTGGCAGCTTCAGGCCTGACTTTCCTGAACAGTCGGGATACCCTTCCCTGCTGAAGCAGTTCCAGGCCTGACTCTCCCGAGCAGTCAGAAAAACCTCCCTTTCAGGGCTGAGCTGTCTCTTTGCAGCTCCAGCCATCATTGTTGTCCTAAGCAGCTAGGTATCCGGGATACCTTGCCCTCCAGGGCTGAGCTGTCTCTTTGCAGCTCCAGCAGTCAGAGTTGTCCTATGCAGCTCAAGGTGTTGCCTGACTCCCGAGGTAGTCAGGATACCTTGCCTCAGAGTTGTAAAACTCACATTTTGGTGTCCAAACCTGGGACCAAACCCACAGAGTTGCAACAAATTTACTTACAACAGAGCCTGTATTTTCCAGCTGGCTCACTTACAACACTCTATCAATTTTCTGTTACTATGTTACTGTAGTAGAATACTTGAGGCTGGATACTTCCTTAAAAGAAAAGGTTTGCTGCTTCTAGTTTTGGAGGCTGACATTCCAACCATCATGGCTTTGCTGCAGCCTCTGCTGTCTGCTTCTCATTATGGCAGCTGACATCATGGAAGGAGAGGGAGAAATCACATGATAAAACAGGAGGCTAGGGGGAGTCAGGAATCATGCATATCACAACTCTTGTAAGAACTAATCAGGGGGCTCTCTGCACTCTTCTTTCTGTGCTTCCTCTCTGTGCCTCTCTCTCTCTTCCTGTCTCTCCAGGCCTGACTTCTTTCTAATAAAGCTCTTTCTAACATTGAAAAAAAAAGAACTAATC